TGTTTTGGCTATCCCATAAAGTTTTAACATGCATAAATAAAAAGTTTACAAATGGTGCTCTCATTCAGTCATGGTGTCGCTACCGCCGTCTACATACTATGATTAATTTTCTGTCTTTTTTCATTTTTTTAACCAAGCGTATAGTGAAATGAAGATGGCGCCAACTGTGTGCACTAACCTATTTTGAAGTTAACGACTACTCAAAGAGCCCCTCCTACATTTCACTACAGTAGACTTAACAGTATGTGAATATAGCAAGTAAGAATATTTTCGATTACATCTTAGATAAGCAATTCTTATTAGTTCAACCAAAATTAGACATTCCTCTAAAAAAATGTTAGCCACAAATGTTGAAAGACAACATTTTAAAAATGTCGGATTTGAAGAACAACTTATTAATAGTACTGCAACTAGCCATTAATCGATACAAAAACCAAAATTTAAAACATTTCATTCTGTCATAATACCCTACAACACTTTATGTAATACCTCGAAAAATTGATTTCCCACATAGGAAAGGATATATGGATCTTCCTATCTCGCCATGCTGAGTCGATCTAGCTATGTTTATCCGTCCATCCGTCTGTCCGTCTCAAGAAATTTAGCATGGAGGTGGGGTTAGGGTCAGAATAGAACCCTATTGATAATATTTAGGGTTTGAAATGGACCAAAACCAGAAAATTTTCCTGTTTTTACAGTTGCCCTATATGTCGGAATTATTGACCAATCGGCGCGGAGTTTACCATGGGGCTAGAGTTTAGGGCTGGTCAAGAGCGTACCATTTTGTTTGGCCATCGGACAATATTTAGCGGTTAAAATAGACCGTTACTTTTATGTAAAAAATAAGAAAATTTCCACTAAACAGCGAATATTTTTAATTCTGCCGAAATGCACATATCAAAGATATCGCATATATAACAAAATATCTACAATATCATATATCATGAAGAGGATTCTAGTTAGACCGCCTTCAAATGCCGGAATGTTTTCTTGCCAGAAAAGGATAACACATTAGAAAATCGCGTAAAAATATGCCAATAAAAAGTGAATATTTTTCTTTATATTGTTGTCATATTTTTTATCGCATGCTATTTTTTCATATTTAACTTGCAATATTGAATTTTACGTTTGCTAATATTTTTTCATCTTATAACATCATGTTTTTGGATTATTATATTGAAGTCGAAATTATCATCCGATTCTCAAGAAATTGAGCATATGGATAGAATTAGGGTCGGAATTGAAGCCCATTATTTTTCAAGATATATATTTATGAGATGAAATGGACCAAAAATTAAAACTTTCTTGACCTTGAAGAGGCTCTACAGGTCACAATTAAAAACCAATCGACATGGAATTTTGCATTGTAAATATAAGGAAAATATATTAAAAGCCAAGGGCAACATATGTGCAGGACAGTGTAGGTTTTGGTTTTCCAATATATATATATATATATATATATATATATATATATATATATATATATATATATATATATATATATATATATATATATATATATATATATATATATACGGCCCCGCCATACTATAGCCTTTGCTTACTTGTTTTTGTTTTATAAATGATGGCTAGACATTTATAAAATCGTAATATTTCAATAATTTTTAACGTCTTCTATTAGTTTGCACATTTCTTATTATACATGATTCTCTTAAAAATAGTTTTCCAGTCCGGTTGCTTGGAAATTGCCCGAAATCGTTAAGACTCTCGTAGAAAAATTAATCGGGAAAAATTGTTGGATTCTGGGAAATGTTTTCATAACATCGAAATATGCGACCTTTGTACCCTAAGTTATGCTTTAAAAACCTAACTATATTTCGATTACACAACGTAATATCTATTCTCAAATAATTTAATTGAAACACCTTCATTTCTGCTGTAGATACTGACCTTACGACCTCACCTCACCGACCTACCGTCGTATTTAACAGTCGATTTCAATTATTTTCTTTGCAATAACTTTATAAATCATATCAAATCCAAATTTACAATTTCCTAGAAACAATCTGGGCCGAAAAATCGGAACTTTCGAATGGTCTCTTCGCAGAAAAGTATATAATTACAAGTAAAAAAGAAGTAAGTTCGACCGGGCCAAACTTTGAGTACCCTCCACCATTTGGAGCGAATTAAGAAATTTTCAAAAAAAAATCCATTAACATTTTTTTTAAATCTTAAAAATACCGAATATCATAAGATGTCGATATATGGGGGATATACGATATTGTGGACCTATATAGACAATTCTATTTCAGGGGGTAAAGTACTCACGAAGAACTCTTTGTGTAGAATTTTAGACAATTCCATTGAAAAATGTGGCTAAAACCATCAAAATACCGAAAATCGAGGGTACCGTTATATGGGGACTATACGATATCGTGGACCAGTATAAACAATTCCCCTTTAGGGGGCAAAGTACTCACGACGAACTCATTGTGTGGTATATATATATATATATATATATATATATATATATATATATATATACGGCCCCGCCATACTATAGCCTTTGCTTACTTGTTTTTGTTTTATAAATGATGGCTAGACATTTATAAAATCGTAATATTTCAATAATTTTTAACGTCTTCTATTAGTTTGCACATTTCTTATTATACATGATTCTCTTAAAAATAGTTTTCCAGTCCGGTTGCTTGGAAATTGCCCGAAATCGTTAAGACTCTCGTAGAAAAATTAATCGGGAAAAATTGTTGGATTCTGGGAAATGTTTTCATAACATCGAAATATGCGACCTTTGTACCCTAAGTTATGCTTTAAAAACCTAACTATATTTCGATTACACAACGTAATATCTATTCTCAAATAATTTAATTGAAACACCTTCATTTCTGCTGTAGATACTGACCTTACGACCTGACCTCACCGACCTACCGTCGTATTTAACAGTCGATTTCAAATATTTTCTTTGCAATAACTTTATAAATCATATCAAATCCAAATTTACAATTTCCTAGAAACAATCTGGGCCGAAAAATCGGAACTTTCGAATGGTCTCTTCGCAGAAAAGTATATAATTACAAGTAAAAAAGAAGTAAGTTCGACCGGGCCAAACTTTGAGTACCCTCCACCATTTGGAGCGAATTAAGAAATTTTCAAAAAAAAATCCATTAACATTTTTTTTAAATCTTAAAAATACCGAATATCATAAGATGTCGATATATGGGGGATATACGATATTGTGGACCTATATAGACAATTCTATTTCAGGGGGTAAAGTACTCACGAAGAACTCTTTGTGTAGAATTTTAGACAATTCCATTGAAAAATGTGGCTAAAACCATCAAAATACCGAAAATCGAGGGTACCGTTATATGGGGACTATACGATATCGTGGACCAGTATAAACAATTCCCCTTTAGGGGGCAAAGTACTCACGACGAACTCATTGTGTGGAATTTCAGACATTCGATATTCGATATTTTGAGGATTTTAGCGACATTATTCATCGGAATTGTTTCAAATTTGAAATTTTGATGTTCGTAATGGATACTACAGCCTAAGACAGAAAATTGTCTGTGCAGGTCCACGTCTTCATACAGCCCCTATATAATGGTACCTCCCTATATTTAGTATTTTGATGATTTTAGCGACATTACTCACCGGAGTAATTTCACATTACGTATTTTGAGTTCGTAATGGGAACTACAGTCTTTGACAGCAAACTGTCTATGCAGGTCCAGGTCTTCGTATAGCTCCGATATTCAGTATTTTGATGATTTTAGCTACATTATACACCGTATATTTCAAGTCTCGAATTCGAATATGGTAATGGCTTAAGACCATCCAAATCATAATCCTGTATTCCGTATTTTTAAGATTTCAACAGAATTTTTAACGGATTTTGTTTTTAGAATATATCCAAATTCATTCCAAATGGTGTGGGGTATTCAAAGTTCGACTCGGCCGAACCTACTGCTTTTTAACTTGTTTATATTGCGTAATACTTTCAATTTGACTTCTCATATTAAATTGTGGGCTTAAATCGAATCGGGGACCTACTATTGTCGTACGACAATTGTCCAATCAAGGAGCATGGAAGTATCGAATGTCAACAGATGTTGAGTTTAAATACTCTGATGTGGAAAATGTTTTTCAAAGCTTTAAAATACTAAAAGTATGCAGGAATCGTTATATGGTAACTACGCCTAACGGGGAACCAATATTAAACTATTATTTCTGGTAAAGATTTCACAATACAGAAATTTAGCGCTCGTTCTGTCGAAAATTGTGGCAGAAGCATGATAAATTACGAATGTCAGGTGATAATATTATGTAGGACCTAACCTTAATGGAGACCGATGATTTCCTTATTCAACACCAATCATTTTAGGAATGATGTAAACGTCAGAGCAAGGTTTCAAATAGCTATCATAAATATTGCGACGCATATAGTAATTGTAACAGACGGCCTGATAGATAGACGCGCAGAGTTTAACCACCATAGAATTTTCACTGATCAAGTGTACTACTTCACGAGATCCCCAATGAATGTTTTGTGGTGTTAAAAATTGATGACCAAACTATATACACACTGGATTACTGTAACTTTAAATTAATGACCATTTATTCAGGTCTAGCAAAGATTCAAATTGGATCATTTAAAATAGTCCATACTATAAATCTACAAAACTATGAGAATATAATTCAATACAACAGAAGCAGCAGCCGTCACCATATCCCAAACTAAATACCACATCTCACGAATCAAACCCAGAATAAGATCCAAGAGATCACTAGATTCTATTGGCGCCGTCAAAATATGGAACATGAGTCAAAAGAAATAACGGCAACACCTTCCCAGTGATGAAAATTTCCCAGCTCATCATATTAACAATGGCGTGATCATAAAGAAATGCAGACCTATACAAAACCAATAGAATAAGCAGGAAACATTTGGAGTTAAGTAGATTTGGAAGTCAGTTGCAAATTGGAATTAAAAAAGGCGGCCTAAAAACCGCTCCGAATCTCTTTTAAAAATAAAATTAATTCAAGATTACTTTAATTTACATATCCCAAGAAATAATCACATTTACATAATCTCATTTGGTATAGAAGCTATTGAGTAAGGTGTAATCAAATTTCCCTTCCATTTGGTAATTCGGTTCCATATACTTTTTGAAATAATCATGATGATAGATTTCCACATCCTTGAAATACATATTTGGCACAAAGAATTCCTCTTCGGAGATATCACGATCGAATGGATAGAACAAAGGTTTGTCGTCGGTGAAACGTCCGCCATACCCAAAACCACAAGAATACGACGTCTTGAGTTGCGATTTCTCCACATTGGGCATTTCATATCCGGTTACCATGAAGAACATTGTCATTGGCATCCCCTTTTCCCATCCACGTGGCAAAATTAAACGATTCGGGAACAGACAATATGTTTCCCTTACATAAACTGGGAACTTGTATTTGCCTTCTATGGCCATCATCACATTGTGGTATAATTCAGTGTATGTTGTGCGATCTTTTTGGGTCCAATAGAACTCATCCGAATTGTAGCTAATCACGTTCATGCCTGCTTTCAAATCAATAGCAAATTTACCCAGTGTTAGGAAGTTTTCACGGTTATCTGCCAGGCTAAGAGCTCTTCCAAATTCATCATGCTTGGGAGCAAGGAATATCCGAACTAAAGCTTGTTGATCTTTGTCGGATACAACAGTTAAATTAAAACCGAAGGGTTTGTGGTTTAACCGCATTTGCCTGGCCAAAAGCATCTTGTCCCACACCAAACGACCGTCTTGGAAAATCATCTTATCATTTCGCAAAGTTGTCAGATCAAAGTCCACTAAATCGAAGAATGTAACTAATTCGGTTACCTGCACCTCTTTAATTTCCACTCCAGAAAACATAAGTTCCTCCTTGGAGTATGGCTCCAGTTGACCTTTGAAACGCAAGAAGGCATCTGCTATTTTTTTGTGGAAAACATAGAAATATGGATCACGAACCATGGTCTCATAATTAAGCATTACACTTGGACTGACTTCGATGTCACCTTTGCCAACCTGCGATATAAACATGTGACTGAGCAAATAGTAGTAATTAAAGAAGTACTTATCGAACACATCAATGTTGCCCTGCACCAAATTACTTATATGCTCCAGTGCATTTTCATGTCGTAGATCAATGATCTGGCCATCGTGCATACGATAGTAGCCCATGTCAATTATATCGTAGATGCGTTGGAATGCATTTTGAATTTTGTTAAACATTTCAAGGTTGGCATATGTTTTGAAATCGTAGTAATTTGGCCGATAACTGTACCCAATGCCATTGCAAGCTACCAATTGAGGCTTATAACCATGTTCAATTTGCTGCATCCAATAAAATTCGGGAATTTCGCCAAAGCCATGCGACAATCGTTCCATATAATATCGAGACATAACTTTGTGGACGGCGTAAAGCCAAAACTCTCCGCGGCGCCCATTCGAAGCGAAGGTCTCAGAGTCCAAGAAAAATGCTTGATCCATATTCAAGTAATACCAGAATGACATCCAGCCTACATCCTCAGTAAAGTAGGAGTGGACCGATTCCCTATTGAAGAAATCAATGTCGCGAGTGTAATCGGCAGGCATCCACCACATTTTCAGATCATTCAGCAAGATCTTCCCTTTCGGGTCTTGATTAACTTCATGGATAGTCTCTCGTAGCATATAGTTGTCTTCGGCATACCAATGGTGTTTGTCGAGACCCATCTGTTTCCACCATTGCCACATTTTCCATTCCTTTATGTGGTCCCCATAATAACTGTGGTTATACAAATCCATTCCCTCAAAATGTTGCTGATATTCCAGTTCGTACATGGTCTGCTTTTTCCAAACACTATAGTCGTACTTCTCAGCCTTGTAGATGAAGTCGCTTGTAAAGAAATGTTGTGGAAAAATTTCATAGATGGATGGTAGTACCAAACCATTAAGATCTTCACGATGAATAACCGCCATACTAAGGGCATACACGAATAAGCCTTCATTAACATGCATACGAGCCCAGCAAACATTGTGCATGAATGTTTCCCAATCCCTGGCAAAGTAGAAGAAATTAAATAGTCCCCACGCTTGTTTATGGTGAGTCTCGACAAGTGCACCAAAAAATTCACCTCTAGGCAAGAGGGTTTTCAGCTTGTAGGATTCCCAGAATTTTTCCATGTGGTAATCATAGTGCTAATGTGAATAAAGGAATGATTCAAAACGCTCTTTAAATACATATATGAATGAATGTACACATTTTTACTTACCTTATAGTAAGATCTGTCAGTGACAAATGTGGTGCCTAGCTTAATCCATTCATCGAACATCAAGGGATCCGTCACACGATAGACTATCTCGAGAAGAAATTTTTGTTTTTCTAAGAAACCTTTATTGGCAATTCTGAACTCTGGCAATGTTGTGGCCGCCACTGCGAAGCCTAAACAGACTAAAATCGTTATTGCAAACTTCATGCTTAGAACTGTTCAGAATCCTCGAAAGCTGAAGACTGGTCTTAGTCAATGTTCCGCTTAGGCTTTTATATATGCACCAATGCACTCTTATCATATTCCAAAATAATGGTTTTTAAATATAATATACACATACACATATAGAAATGTCAAGGCCTGAAATAATATTATCTCGCATTGAGACTTCACCTAAAATGTTTACCTAATAAAGCAGGGTGTGCAGCTTTGTCGTTTTGGTGTTCTTACCTTAGCGAACCGAAACCGGAGAAAGAAATGTTCACTGTTACTTAATTATACATAACCTTTTTGAAATTGTAGCAAGTAATCCCAAACAATCTCTAAATATTTCCATAATTATTACTTCTCAAGCTGAATCAATCTGCCCATTTTGTCAACTGCGGGATGCACCCTATAATAAGGAGGAAGTAGCATTCATGTGTATAATAAACCCTTTGAATTAATAATTTAAATGTGATGGGATTTTCTTTGCACAAATAAGTGCAAATCATTTGGACATTAACAAATTATAACAAGTAGTACGACCGGGTCGAACTTTTTATATCCTCCGCCATTTGGAAGCTAAGAATAGGGTCGTAGAACAACGCTGACCGTTATTAACTGTAAATACCAAATTTTCTTCCACAGAAAGTAGAACCCTTACGAACTCAAAATGCCGAATTTTATATTATTCGGTTAAAAAATGTGCCTAAAATAGTTAAATAGCGAAGATCGGGAGATACGATAATTAGGATATATACGAAAACCAGGACCTATATAGACAATATCCTACCTGAGGGGGTAGGATCTGTTATGAACTCTAAACCCGAATTTTGAATTATTGCGTTAAAAATGTGGTTAAATACAGAATATGAGGAATAACCGTTATACCGACTATGGGGTGGTGCAAATACAATTATATAGAGGTTATGTCAAAACGTTTTCGATATAGCTCATCTTCGAACTTGACCTGTCTGCAAACAAAAGACAAATCTACGCAATATACCGTTTAGACTCTAGCGTGATTACAACAGACGGACAGGGCTAAATCGACGTAGAATTTTAAGGTGATCAAGAATATATATCAAATCTAAGAGAAATGTTTACAATTCGGTACATAGAGTTTGTAACGGGTTCATCTCCTAAGGCAGAATATTATCTATATGAGTGCACATTGTCTTATAGCCTCGATATAAGCGTACCTCCCGATTGTGACGATTTAAGACACATTTTCAAGCGGAATTGTTTAAAATTCGGTACTTAGAGATTGTAACGGGTTGCACCTCCTGTGGCAGAACATTGTTTATATAGGTTCACGTTTTCCTATAATAGCTAGTTCTTCGGTACTTCCAGATATTCAGCATTCTGATGATTTTACCCATAAATTGAATACACTGAAGTCGCTTAAAATTCGGCAAGTAGAGTTTGTAATGAATACTCTCTTTGTGACAGACGACTGCTAAAATAGGCTCTAAAATTTTTATCGCTCATAAGGCAATTCCTCTAATTATCTTAAATTTTGGTGATTTTAGTCACATATTTTAACAACCACTTAGCAGGAACCAGTACCATCGACATCTGCACAACTTTGCAGTAATTGTAGTCTAAGGTCGTGTGTAATATTGTTTTAAAGGCCCCATTTTTATACCCTCCACCATACTATGTCGGGTATATGAATGTTGTCATTCCATTTGTAACTCCTCGAAGTACTTATGTTAGGCAGTACAAAGTATATACAGATAAAACAAAAACTGCAACAAAGTCAAACGCCATAATTTTTACATTTTTTTTTAAATTTTATTGAATGAGAGCAAAAAAATGTAGGAAATAACTTCAAATTTTAGAATAAGTTTAGATTGGTTCGAATTGGTCACCTTTGGCACGAATTATGGCCTTAAAACGGCCAATGAAATCGTCACACGCTGCCCGAATGTTGCTATGCCGTATTTTGCCATTTCCCGCCGAAGCGCTTGCTTGAGGTGATCGCCACTTTGGTATTTTTTAGTGCCAACCTTGATTTCCAAAATACTCCAGACACAATATTCCAACGGATTGGTATCCCGAGATTTTGGTGGCCATTGTGCGATGGAAATGAAGCGAGGAACCTCATTTTGTAACCATTCTTGGGTGGCGCGTACTGAATTCGATGGTGCTGAGTCCTGTTGAAATGCCCAATGCTTATATACACCTTCAGAACATTTTCGCGATAATATTTGCCATTTGTTCTCTAGCCACGATCGAGAGCGACCATCGGCTGTTATGGCGACCCACACCATCACCCTGGCCGGCGCTTGAGTTTTGGTGGCCAACCGAAGGTGCACATTTTCAGCTGACCTCTTTAGCAAGTAAGCACGATCATTTTGTTTGTTTACAAACTGCTGGACAACAAATGTTTTCTCATCGGAGAAAACCAAATTCAGTAGTTCACCACTTTCGGCCAAGCGAAGCAACTCGTTAGCTCTTTTGACTCTATTTTCTTTCGGTTGCTGTGTAAGTTCTTGAACTATTTGGAATTTCAATGGCTTTACCCGAGCTCATTTTTCAATATTCACGAGCCATTTTTCGGCCACCGCGTCGCAGGTTTCGATGAAGTCGCTTCTTTACTTTTCGAACCATTTCTTCTACGCTACCAGTATCTTTACTTTTCGAACCATTTCTTCTACGCTACCAGTATCACGGTAACGAGCGATAGTATGGGACACAAAAGATTTATTCGCATTTAAATGCTTTTTTTCTGGAAAATTCATACCAAAACGATTTTGTACGCTTGTAAACATATAAAGAGCTGTCACTGGAAAACAGCTGTCGGACGTTTGGCTTAGAAATGACAGCAGTCTGAAGTTGGTTGCAGTTTTTTCATCCCACCCTATATATGCTGGATCAATGTAAAACACATATGCAGGCCACGTCTTCGTATAGCCCCCATATTACTGTTTTCATTTAAACGGTATTTTTTTGAAAATTGTCAAGTACCTTCAAAATGGTAGAGGGTATTAACTTAATTGTTTTTTACTTGTTTGAAAGTAATATGTATATGGGTGTTTTCATTTCCTTTGAACCGCGTGTGATTTGGCGTCTTTTCTGGCCTTATCCAAACAACTCGGCCTTCTTCGGGCTAGTTCACAATAACGGCAGACATAAGTACTGTGAAAATTGAAAAATCAGGGATACATATTCTGTGATGAATTTTTCAATGAATTGTTTTTTGAATATTCGTTCAAAAAAGCCCGATAACGTAACAGCCACTTCTTACTTATTTTCGAAGAAAAACGATACAATTACAACCAAAATCCGCCCCAAACAGTTACTCGTTTTGTGTGCCCCAAATGCAATACAATTTTGTTTGTTTACATGCGGAACTGACTTTGCTTCTCCTCTTCTAAAATCTGCACTCAATTTTCTCACACATTCTGCAACATTTCCATGAATTTCAATGTAATGTCGCAATAATTCCCAGAGTTGTCCAATAGTATACACAACCATATTAGCGGCAGGATAAAACAATTTATCTTTCAAATCAGACATGATCTAAGTGTTATCATTCACGAACTAAGCATTAGTTGAACATTTTAGATTGCGGGCTATACGAAAATACGTACGGAATATACGAAAATACGTACATATGTAGCGAGTATCCGTGAATATCATTATGTGGGTGCTATACAGGACTAACATTTATGCCGATTTATCGGCATTTTGAAATTTGTCACTCTAAAAATGGGACATGCCGATTTTTGCCCCAGAATTGACGATATTTCAACAATCGACACAAATTGTCAACTTTTTTACTTTAATACCTTACAAACGTATAAAAGTAACGAATAAACCGGTAAAAAAAAGTGCGCACAAGTATAAAATTGGTGGTGTATTTCATAAAGTTAAATTATTAATTAAATATAGATAAATACTTGACAAAACGAAAAGGTATATACTTTAAGAGTGTCTGAGATATATGTTTTTGTACAAAGATTGTTGAATGTTTGTTTTTTTATAGAAAAAAAAAAAAAAAAACACAGACGAAGAAAATATTTGTTCATCAAGTGTCCAGCAGGAACAAAACAGAAGACGCAAGCACAAATCACAATGGATTGACTCTGATACGGAGTGTTGGGCAGAAATGGGGAACAATTTTTTAGTTTGTAAATTGTGTAAAGTGCAGTTGAAAGCTACTTCGGGAAAATGTGACTTACTGGCTTATTCAAAAACAAAAAAATATTTAGCTGCTGCAAACGCTATATTGGTGCAAAAGAAAATCTCAGAATCGTTCTATGTGGAACAAAATGCGACCAAGAAGGCGGAAATAAGGATTGCCTTATTTATAGTAGAGCGGACCATATAACGAAGGTTTGTCAAAGCTCTTTGTCCGAAGAATGTGCACCAATATGACATTAGGAAAAACAAAGGCAACTGCCATTATAAATAATGTCGTGGGCAAACGACAATTTTTAAATATCTGTAAACTTTTAGAAAACAACAATTTTCTTCATGTATAGATGAGTCTACAGATCTATCAAAGAACAAATCATTGTGTTTGATCGTTCGCGTTTGTTTAAATTTTGAAATTCATGATTTTTTCTTTGCTAAAAGTTCATTCGGAATGTAACGCAAAAAGTTTACATGGATTAATTTTGGACCATTTTACAAAAAATGGTGCCGCCGTAATGACGGGAAAGTACAATTTTGTGGCTCAACTTTAAAAAAAAAAGATTCCTAATTTGTTCATAATGCCTATGCTTGTCTTCAATTGCCATCCGAAATAGAAACTTGGGCACGAAACATTTACAATTACATTGGTCATAGTCCGAAACGCCTTGGCTAATTTGAAGACATACAACAACTGATGGATCTCAATCCAAGAAAAATGTTACATCCTAGCCAAACAAGATGGCTATCACTTGAATCAGTAGTTGTAAGGATACTTGATTTGTATGAGCCACTAAAAATATATTTCTCCTTTACTGCCAATGTTGATCAAATAGATACAGCCAAAGTCGTTTTAGAAAATCTAAACGAAACAAATAAAATATATTTGTCTTTTTTAAAGTATATTCTCAACCTTATTAATAACACCAACAAATTATTTCAAAAAGAATCAACCGAAATTCATAATTTGCATAATGAAATGGAGCTACTTTTTAGAAACGTCTTAAGTAATTTAATAAAATCTGATGTTATAAGAAATTTTTTTAGAATATGATGGAGTATATTTAGGTTTATATGCAAAAGATATACTTTCAGAAACTAAGCTTCCCAAAAATGAGTTACACAAAATAGTTAGCACTTGCATTAATTTTTTTATATAGAACTTGCAAACTAAATATTAAAACGTTTTGATTTTAATTTAAATTCATTGAAATGCTTAAAACTTATTGATCCTGGAAGAATAATGAAGTAGAATAATTATTTTCTAGATATTTTTAAAGAATTCCCAGATTTTATTTTAGAAACTGAAAGACAAACTTTAGACTCCGAGTTTAGGGAGTTAAACTTTTTGAATTTTGAAGAAATTCTTGAAAATGCTGAAGAAAATTTGGAAAGTTTTCGAAATTAAACGTGGGGATTTCAATTTGGCTTTTCCAGTTTTATCCAAATTTGTACAAAGAATTATGATTCTTCCACACTCCACAGCAAATGTAAAGCGAATTTTTAGTCAGGTAAACCTTACCAAAACTAAAATTAGGAGCTCACTTGATAATGATTCATTGGAAAGGGATTGTAATAAAAATGTGTAATAAAAACCTATACTAGTTGACCTTAATACACTGTGTTATATATAAGTCTTAAAGATCTCACTAATGTACAACATAACAATGAATTTTAGAAAAATCTACATTTTTTGTAGAAAAATCAATCTATTATGTTATTTTTTATGAATAATTGAATTTATCCTTTTTTATTGAAATAATTTTTTTTTTGGTTTGTTATATACCTTAAAAATGTCTTTATTTATAAATTAGAAGTTGCCGATTTTTAAAAATGCAAATCCCGATTATGCCGATTTTTTTTCAGAAAAATTGACAATTTTTCATGAAATTTATCTAGTAGCCCTGGTGCTATATGCAAATGTGCACTCATGTGAACCATTATCTGCTTGATCTACCAGCAGACAAAAGACAGTTATGCGCAAAATCTTATATTTCTATCACAAGTGGTTGACACAATTCCGTATAGACTCCCGTTTTGAGACAAAATTTAAAATAATGAAATTTAGTGTTTTTCTAGACGATTGTTGTTATCGATTTTCGATTTCTGTTACAACCTGGGATCACTGTGCGACGGATGGAGGCGTGTCGCCAAACTTTGCTGATATTTTGTTCCATTCATAATGTAATCATGTCAACATTATCATAATAAGAAGATATCGCAATAGCTACCCAAATATTTTTTTACTTAATTTAAAATAAACATCGGCCCATGAAAGTACCTTTTTATACCCTCCACCATATACTATGGAGGGTATATAAACTTTGTCATTCCGTTTGTAACTCCTCGCAATACTCATGTCAGACCCAACAAAGTAAATATATTTTTGATCAGCTTAAAATTCTTAGTCGTTTAGCGATGTCCGTCTGTCTGTTGTAATCACGCTATCTTTCGAACGATTTGAGATAGAAGACTAAAATTTTGCACACATGTTTATTTTTCCAGTAGGCAGGTTAAGTTCGTAAATGGGCCATGTAGGTCCACGTCTTCGTATAGCCCCCATATAACGGTACCTCCCGATATTCGGTATTTTGATGATTTTAGCGAAATTATTCACCGGAATTGTTTCAAATTTGGTATTTGAAGTTCGAAAAGTATACTACATTCAGATTATTTTAGCGACATTATTACCCGAAATTGTTTCAAATTTGGCATTTGAAGTTCGTGATGGATACTACAGCCTATGACAGAAAATTGTCTATGCAGGTCCACGTCTTCGTATAGCCCCCATATAACGGTACCTCCCAATATTCGGTATTTTGATGATTTGATCGTCATTGTCCACCGAAATTGTTTGAGATATCGTATTTGAAGTTCGTAATGGGATCTACAGTCTGTGACAAAAAATTGTCTATGCAGGTCTTCGTATAGGCCCCATATATCAGTATCTCCCTATATTCGGGATTTTGACGAGTTTAGGTACAATACCCACCGAAATTGCTTAAGATGTCCTAGTTGAACTTCGTAATGGATGCTACAGCCTATGACAGATAATTGTCTATGCTGGTCCAGGTCTTCGCACAGCCCCGCCATAACGCTACCTCCATATAGACGATATTTTGATGATTTTAGCCACATTATTCACCGTTTATTTCAAGTTTACGAATTTGAATATGGTAATGGCTTATGACAAACAATGCCTATGTAGGTCCACGTCGTATAGACCCCAATAAAACGGATATATTCGGTATTTTTAAAATTTAACAGAATTTTTTAAGGATTTTATTTTTTTTAAAAAATTTTCTAATTGTGGAGGGTATTCAAAGTTCGGCCCGGCCGAACTTACTGCCTTTTAACTTGTTATGAAATAGCTACGTGATAAGACATGGTATAGTTTAACAGTCCGCGTGGCTAGAACCTTGTTATTGTCTTCAATATTTGCTTTGTTCAAAAAGTTAGCTTCCAAAAAACATTTTGATTTTTGGGGATTGTTATTGCTGGCTATCTAATCTCAGCATACATAAAATTGCAGAGCTATACCCCTAAAAGTTTATGGGCCATTGTTGCAAGATTATTTGGTTATCGGTTGAATATTATTGAATAGATTCATAGTTTCCAACTCAAGAAAATAACAACAACCAACATGTTTGGAACCTGTAAGAACAAATTTGCTACTGTAAGAGCATATTAGCTAATTCCCTTGGGATCACAGTTTTATAAAACCCAGAAAAATACTGAATTATCTTTTTGTTATAACCTCGCCCGGTATATCAAAGTTATGTCAAATTATGGACCAATATTAAAGATTTTCGTAGTATGATTTTTAAACCAATGCGGTTTTAAAATTAGTTCACTAAAACGTCACATCACAACAGCATTTGTTGGGAAACGCTACGCATGATATCTTTTCAGAATGTCAGAAATACGGGTGGTTGGACATCGTTAAACTGACCAAAAATTTTATGTCAATTAAGAAAAGATGTACTTTAGAACTAAGAAAAAAAAAAAAAAAACAGAAACAAAAACCGTAAAAACTAATTTTAAAACAACTATTAAATATTTTTATTATTATCATAAATGTGTATTTTGAACATCATTAGAACGAGCTTCCTTTTCCTTCGAGTTTCCTATTTTATCCGCATCTTCCATAGTAGCTGGCAAGATTAAATTCGTCGTTTCGGGAAATAATAGTGATAAACAGGCGCTTGCAATAGCTGTCGTTGCGAATAGTATCGCCGGAGCATTTTCATAATATTTTGCCTAAAATAACGGAAAATGAAACCATAAATAAGAATAAAAAACCGAATAGAAAACATATATTTACCAAAAGTGGTGTTTGTGGAGCCACCATTGATCCCAGTCTTCCCATCATCGAACAAAACGATAACAGGCTATTGCGCAAATTGGTGGGGAATATCTCCGATGTAAAGAAGTATAATACTTGAAAGCTGGCAGTGATTGCCAATTTTCCAATCAGAAACAAAATCAGTTGGCCAATTGCTGCGTCTGTAAAGAAAAATTTAAAATAGAATTGGTTCAGTTTTTAAAAATCGCTCACTCGGTTCGAACATTTTTACCTTTTGGCATAAATATGGTTGCCAAACAACACAGTCCGCTTATAAACATACAACCGAACAACGAACGCCTTCTACCAAAACGATCCATTATAACGAGTGGCAACAAGAACCCTGGTATTTCAACCATGGCTATGTACACAAAGTTATTGTATTTATCTCCATCCAGGAGAACTGCATTTAAGCTGAGGCCGTAATATACCAGGACGTTGACTATCCAACAGAACGAACAATTGGCGATGCGCCAAAACAAACTTGTAAATGCCAACTTTATGGGAAATTTTCCTTCGGTTGTGTTGGTCAGTTTTTCACGATTTGCCAGAATCAATTTGTCCAATGAGTGTTCGGGTAGGTCTCGCTTATTAACCCTTGCTGCACGTCTCAGTATATTTTTGGCTTCTTCCTCTCTCTTTTGACTCAATAGCCAGCGGACACTTTCCGGTAATATCCAGAAATAGACGAATAACACCAAGGCGGGTATGTACATAATGCGCAAAAGTATCCTCCAATTTTGGAAGTATTTTGCAAATATGGCCAGGAGCATTTCGCCCACAGCATAAAATATTGTGACTAAACTACAGGCGAGAACTCGTCGCTTCGGACCTACCAATTCGATGCCCACTATAAAACAAACAGAATACAGGGGGCTCGATGCTAGACTGTCCAGAAACTCGAATATCACAAAATACGTATAGGAGGTTGCAAATGAACGTATAATACCCAAAACAGCTGCTGCAAATCCACCAAAAGCCAAAGCCGTGCGGCGTCCATAACTAAATGTGAAAGTAGATAATTGGATAGTTATGAAACAATAATCTAATAAGAACGAAACGATCAATCTATCTGGTTACGGATAACAATTTAATAAAACAAATTACAACCTATCAATTGATCAATTCATATTCCATAAAAAAAAAATATTTTTTTTCGGACTACTTAAACCATTTTTGTGTAATGTTTAAAAAATGCGAACCAAAAAATGTTTTGAAATAGATACGAGTAATTATTAAAAACTATAACTAAATGATGAATATGCGACCTTTATTTTATAAATTGAAATAGTAATTATAACCCCCAAACAACCATAAATTATGAAAGGGACCTTGATATTTGGAATTTTTAAAATAGTCGAATTATGTATCCCAATGATTTGAGGAATTAATTTCACATTTGGTGGGCACATGTGACAAATACCGAATTTAATCAACATAATTTAAGTGTCACCCAAAAAAATATTTTTTTCAATTTGACTGAATTTAACGGGAGGGTATATTAAGTATGTCATGTCATTTGTAACTCATAGAAATAATAAATCAGAACCCTTGGAGTATTTATATTCTTGATCGACGTAAAATTCTAAGACGATTTGCATATTTCGGTCTGTTAGTTTGTGATAATCAATCTACATTTTAAAGGAGCGACTTGATCGAAAGTCGCTTGAGTCGCTTGGCTAAAAGTGGTGAAAATTTGGTTTTTCCGAAGGCAAAACATTCGTTGTCCAGCAATTTGTAAATAAACAAAATTATCGTGTTTACTTGCCAAAGAGGTCAGCTGAAAATGTGCACCTTCGGTTGGCCACCAGATCTCAATCGCCGGCCATGGTGATGGTGTGGGTCGCCATAACAGCTGATGGTCGCTCGTATTAATCGACCGAGGCATCAAATAAATGCCGAATATTATCGCGAAAATATTCTGGAGGGTGTATTATAGCCTTGGGAACGCAAACATTTTGGCCTTGGACATTCCAACAGGACTCAGCACTCCCCACCACAGAATGGTTACAAAATTAGATTCCTCGCTTCATTTCCAGCGCACAATGGGCACCATAATCTCCTGATACCCTTGGACTATTGTGTCTGGAGTATTTTGGAAAGCAAGGTTGGCACTAGAAAATACCAAAATGTCGATCACCTCAAGCAAGCGCTTTGCCGAGATTTAGCCAAAGTACCGCAAAGCAACATTCGGGCAGCGTGTTTCATTGGCCGTTTGGAGGCCATACTTCGTACCAAAGGTGACCAATTCGAACCAATCTAAACTTATTCTAAAATTTGATGTTATTTCCGACATTTTTTTGCTTTCATTCAATAATATTAGGAAAAAATGTAAAAATTATGGCGTTTGACTTTGTTGCAGTTTTTTTTATCTTTTATTTGAATCGACGTAAAATTCTAAGACGGTTTGCACATTTCGGTCTGTTCGTCTGTGGTAATAAATCTACATTATAAAGGATTTTGTTTATTATCATATTTTGTCTGCCCACTCGATGTAATTTTTAATGGATTTGGCCACGTTTTTACGTATTAATGGTACGAAAATACTTTAAAACCCTATTTTAGTATTGCGTGAAGTTAGAGATAAGAACAAGGAAAACCTACCTACCTATGATAATCGGAAAAGTGGACCATGAATTTTGTATGAGAAATACCAACATTTCCATTCAATAATGAAAGGCGAAACCACAAACTTCCTTCTGACCATTGTGTCGTCATATGTTCTATCGAGGTTTATGGAAAATGTTGGTTTCCGATCTTTGCGGATTGTGCGAAAGGAGGAGGATAATAATGACAACATCTGAGTTTTAAATTAAATAATGAGATCTTCAGTTTGAAAGACCTTTATAATTGTGTTCAATTGAATTAACAAACATAAATATACCCAAGCAAATGCTTTATAGTATGCACTAGTGCCTACACCACTCTGTTATGGGGATATTATAAGTTTCATTTGACCCAGCAATTTGAATAGCCTCGAAATATTACATTGGAAATAAATACTAAAAACAGTTACCCTAACAATCGAAAATTAGTGAACGATCCTCTATATTTGAAATGTTTTTAATCGTATTCCAACATCATGATGTATTCGGTTATTTTAGTCAAAAGGGTCTATTAAACTTTCAATCTATTAAACTCTACCTCCAAATATAATGGTGTAGGATACCATTTACGGCCCCGCCTGACTGTAGCCTATGTTTACTTCTTTTTCTTTTTTTATTTGCAAACACTTATATTTAAGTGGGTACCTTGTATTTTGTTAAAAGTTCTTAATGACTTACTATACTTCATCTTGAATTTATACATTGTATTTTTGTACAGTGGTATTACTTTTCATTATATCCTCCATAGTAGTAGTATAGAGGGTATATTACGCTTGTAGTTCAATTTGTAACATATCGAAATATTAATTTTAGGCCAAAGAAAGCATTTTTGATCAGCATACGATTTTAAGTCGATTTAGCCCCACGCGTCCGTTCGTTGTAATTACGATAGAGACCAAACGGCATTCGAAGGAAAAAACACTAAGATTTTGCAAAGAGTTGTATTCTGTTGTCTGCAGGCAAGTCAAGCATCCACATAATTGTACCTTCTATTTATGTATTACGATATTTCGTACAATTTAGCAACATTGTCTATTGAAATTTCAAATTCGGCATAACGGGATTTTCCTCCTGTGTCAGAATATTGTCTATATAACGTTACCTCCTCATATACAGTATTTTGACTATTTTAGCCACACTTTCCACGGCAATAGTTTAAAGTCTAGAATTTAGAGTTGATAATGGATTCTATTTTCTGTGACAGAACGTAGTTTATACAGGTCCATGTGGGTTTTATATGTTATTCTGTATTTTGCTTAGCTACATTTTCGAAAGGAATTACTTAAAATTCGGTATTTGGATTTCGTAAAGAATTTTACTTCTTTAGCAGAGTAATTTCTATATGAGACAACGTGTCCTTACTTTCCAAATGGTGGAGGGTATAAAAAGTTCGGAGGGTATATTAAGTTCGTCATTCCGTTTGTAACTCTTCGAAATAATAATTTTAGACCCAACACAGTATATATATTCATGATCAGCGTAAAATTCTAATTCTTGTTTATATAGATTCACGATATCGTATATCTCCCATATGACAGCGTTTTCGCTTGTGGCTTTTTTGCTTGTTTCTTATTATATATTATTCTTGAAATAAATGGATGTTTAATATGGCAATGTAAGTACGCGCTGTTTCACAAAACCTGTGGAATTATAGATATTAATATCTTACCGATCTGAAATAAATCCTCCAATTGGAATACCGACAAACTGTCCTATGTTGTTAAGGGTACCCACTAATGACAGCTTCCATTCATCCGAGCAGAAAATGTTGAACTGTGAATAGAAAATAATAAAATTGGTTTTCCGTTTTTAGTGCTGTACTAAGTAAATGATTTTTTTTATTTTATTCACTCAAATTTTTACAAGAAGAAGTTTCAAGGTTTAGTTTTCAGCACGTCATTTGGCTTTATCTTTTGATTATATTACATCGGGTGACATCCTATCGAACCAATATAATAATTTAGTTAAGTTATTGGTTATTTCGAGCTTTTTTCAAGATTTTTAATCGGTTGAAAACTCATGTAAAAATACACCCGATATTGAAAATTTATTTTAAATGTAGTTCAAAACACCCCATTTTAGGTATTCTAAAACCTCCCAAAACATCAAATTTCGAACCTTTGGTTAAAAAAAACAAATAAGCAAAGACTATGATGGTGCGGGACTGACCATTTGATACCCTACAACACTACAATATGTTGGAAGCCCCCTATATCCAAAACCATTTTGGAAGATTTCCTTTTTGAAATGATGTCACAGAGCCCTACCCTTAGCTTTTTGACCGGGGCATTTGTAGTATATTTACGCACACCGTCATTCACACACCGTATTCAAAACTATCGCTCACGAAAGTTGTGGCCTATTTTACAGCTAAATATAATCCAATGTCATCCATAATGCTACACTTTTCCCTGTACTTAACTCTCTTCTCATTCAAAATTCCGTGTCGATTAGTTTTTAATTGTGACCTGTAGAGTGACTGCAAAATCAGGAAAATTTTAATTTTTTGGTCCATTTGAACCCCTAATCCCCAAACAAAGTAGGCTTTAATTCTGACTCTAACCCCATGCAAAATTTCGAGATCATCGCACGATAATTGCGACTTGTATATAATATCCTCAACACATGGTGTTGCAGGGTGTAGAAAAACTTTAGAAAATTTACAATTCTTAACTGTAAGTCAAATTGAAAAAATCGCATGCGCTGAAAAATATGACAAAAATTGAAAAAAATGTAACAAAAAATATTCACTTTTTTATTGTCATATTTTTACTCGATTTTTCTTAGATATTACCATTTTCTGGCGAGAGACCGTTCCGAATTGACGAGAATTGTGAAAATCTGTCAGGGGTTCTTGACTTATAAGGAGAATAACTAAGATCTATTTCTTTTACATATATATTGTACCCATTTTGCTACATATCCGATATCTTGGCTATAAGCATCTCTTTAATGGTCAGAAGTGACCTTTTAATTAATTTGTAACTTGGCCGGGGTTAAAAATATTCGTGGTTTAGTGAAAATTTTCGTATTTTTGTCATAAAAGTTATGGTATATTTTACCCGCTAAATATATTACGATTACCATTCAAATTGGTTAGCTTAGCCCAGCCCTGAACTCTAACTCCATGTAAATTTCTGCGTCTATGGGTTCATAATTACGGCCTATAGAGAAACTGCAAAATCACTGGTCCATTTCAACCCCTAAATATTGTGCGATCATCTCCAAAATTCTGACCCTAACTTCACCTTCATTTTGAATTTCGTGAGGATTGGGCCACAATTGCGTCCTGTAGCTTGATTACAAATAAACATGGACAGACGGACGGACGGATGGGATAGGAAGATCCATATATACTTTCCTATGTGGGAAACCAATATTTCGAGGTGTTTCATAATTTTTGGTCAATCAAACTTATAATACCCCCAACACATAGTGTTGTAGGGTTTAGTAAAATTGACAATTTTGAAGGCAGAACTAAATATATTAATAACTTAGTTAGATACATCTTATTTAAATTTTGTCAGACTTTATTTCAATCCAAATTAATTTATTGAAAAGTACTAAATAATTTAAATTTACAACGTAAAAACGGTCAACTACTCGCACCGGCTTAGACTATCCTGAAATAGTGTAGTTTATTTCAAAAGTGTAACTGTTGCCTTGTCCCTTAATGTAATGATCTTAATGGGAAGAGACACGTCATATACTTTTGGATTATTAAACAACAACATTAATTCAATTAACTTATTAATTTATTTTGAATTTCATTCGCATGCTGTGGTTATTGACATCATCATTCTTTTGTAGTGTCTGATTAAGACTAAATATTATCAGCAATTTTCCCACTCGCCTCATTACGGTGTTAAAATAATTATACATTAGAATGGGTCGTGTGAGTAATAAAAGAAACAATGTGTGTTTCTTAAAATTATTAAATTACAAGTATTTTTAACCTTGAGAAAATTACGTGGCATATTTTTCTCAAGGGAAGAAAATAAATGTAAAAATATAAATGTAGTCCAAGTATGTTACATTAAACCAGTAAGGAAAAGCCGACTATATGATACCCTACATCACTATTCGTATTTAGTAGAGTTCCCGTAGAAAAAGAATTTATTTCAAGTAGATCATACCATCTATCAACATTTGGCTTTAGAGCAGTTATAGTTTGCTATAGAGTGCATGATATAACTTGAGAAGCATTATATCAAAAAAATGTATATATCGAAGGCGAGTTGCACAAAATGATAACGTAAGTCCCGAAATTCACTCCATTTGGGCTAATATTAGCCATTATTTGCACAATAAACCTTAAATCGGATTTAGGATATATATGGAAAATAAATCCGAATCTTAGCCGTTCTCGATAAAATTTGACAAAGATATTTCCGACCTTTATAAGATATCTGGTACCAACAATCATTGTTGTCGTATGCAAATTACGCGTGTGAGGGACATTTAACCCCAAATCAGATAAAACACATATATTGAAGATATAGCTATAGCAGAAACGATTTACACCAAATTTGAAATACTGGTTTATAAGATAAATTCAGTCGTAATTGCCAAAATTCAAACCATTTAGGCTGATATTAGTCATTTGGTGCAAAATAAACCTGATATCGGATAAAGATATAAGTGGGAACTATATCCTAATCTCAACGGATCTCAATAAAATTTGACAGGGGTATTGTCGAGCAGTATCCGATGTCCGGTACCAAATATCATTCTTCTAGAGTGCATATTACTCATGAGAGGGACTCAAAACCATAAATCGGATGAAACATATATATGATAGCTATAGCTATATCTTACCAAATTTGATTTATTTGCATATAAATTAAGAGGGTAGTTTCGAAAATAGTAAAAATAGTTTTTTTTTTTAAGTTTGTCAGTAGGCTTTTCTGTCTACTTTGGTTAGCCAGTGTTTTTACAATTATTACCGGGAAAAATTTCGCAAAGCAAAATATTGAGCTTATTAGGTCGGATTGTGGCAGAAACATCCAAAATGATGAGTGTCAAATAGTGGTATTATATTGAGGGCTATGTCTAAGCGGAAACTGACTCCCTAAATATCATCCATCGTAAGAATGATGTATGTATCAGTGCAAAGTTCCAAACATCTATTTTAAATAATGCGATCAATTTCATTATCACAAGGCACGGACGGGCAGACAGATGGGCAGATTAAACTATAATCGACATAGTATTTTACTCCCTGAGTTCCCAAAGATTAGGGCGTAACCATTCATATTTGTAGTGAGAGCCAATATCTTTTTATCAAATTATAAGCTATTTTTTCAATCAGAAACAGAAATGAAATTTAATTTAATTTTCAGATTTTAATTTTCTTAAAAATAAGTATTACAATTTGGAGCTAAAACTAAGGGTCAGAAACGCGGATCGGGTCAGCTACTTCTATATATAAATGAAAGTGATTTTAGGTACAACACTTATAAATAAAGAACGGTTGGCCTGGTTTTGACAATTCACACCATTTCAGGATGGTCTCTTGGCAGAAAAGGATATCTGATATCTTATACCTAATATCATTGTTAGTGCATATTACGGACGTAGGGGAATTAAATGTGAAATCGGATGAAACATATGTATGGCAGCTAAACCTATATCTGACCAAAATAGTAATAGTAAAATAGTCAAACCTATAAATGGGGGCTACTAGAAACATTATAATGAAGAGTATGAGGTAATGGAATTGTATATGGTCTTACCTAAACAGGTATATGAAATATTTATATGTCTGTGCTACTTCTAAAGTATGATAAATTGATGACACTTATGATTCCGGTCATAAAGGGAAGTTGTGTAGGTCTGTCCTCTTTATCCGCTCAATAATGAAGTGGACAAAACTAAACACCTTGCAGCAAGATTTCTTTACGCCAAATGTTCGTCATCCCCCAACTACGGGTTTTATTCGGAAAGTTTGGAATTAGGATCACTTTTCTAAGTATATATATATATATATATATATATATATATATATATATATATATATATATATATATATATATATATATATATATATATATATATATATATATATATATATATATATATATATATATATATATATATATATATATATATATATATATATATATAATACCAGTAAAAGTTTATATATTTTAAGAATTTCAGGAACATACGGTTAAGTACTACCTTTATATAGTTATAGATAAAAATGTAAAGAGTAGTTCGGTGGCATTGCTATCTTGAAAATTTAATTTAAATTTAAAGTTTACAGCTACTGTTAGACTGACTTTAGTTGCAAGGAATCCTTTTTGAACAAAGTATAGACTTTTAAACTGGAATATCGTATAATTACAACAGTCAATAAACTATAATCTTTACAAACTAAAATGGCGGCGCGAACATTATACATTTAAATACACAGGTATTTATTATTTCATTTATTCTGTTGAGTAGTTTTGTGTAACTTTAACTGCCCATGTTACCAGAATGTTAAATTGATACTTTAAGAATATTTATATTAATTTGTACGCAAAGGCTGTTTTTTGTTTAAAAATTGTGGAAAGCGTCTAATGCTTTAAAAATACTACAGAAAATTGTGAAAAAAGTCGTTTTACATACGACTTTAACACTATGTGTAATCGGGCCTTAAGTCCATTTCATTATTATTGTTTGTCAAAATAATACATTTTGATATGTGACAATACAGATTATTACAAAATCAGTCATACAATCATGGTAGAATTAAAAAGGTAGCCTAATGCAATCATATGTTTAAGTGAAATAGAGTGTAAAGACTGAACGAATAGAATTATGAAAAAAGGTTAAGAAAAAATATGTCGCAATTTTCAAAAAATAAAATCCGTTAAACATTTTTTTAAAATCTTAAAAATACGAAATGTAGCCATATATTAGGGTCTATACGAAGACGTGGACCTGCAAAGGTAACATTTGTCATAAGCCATTGCAATATTCAAATGCGAAACTTAAAAAAATCGGGAACAATGTAGCTAAAATCATCAAAATACCGAATATGGGTAGGTACCGTTATATGGGGCTATACGAAGTCGTGGATCTGCACAGACAATTTTCTGCCTTAGGTTGTAGTATCCATTACGAACTTCAAATGCCAAATTTGAATCAATTCCGGTAAATAATGTCGCTAAAATCAACAAAGTAGCGAATATAGGGAGGTACCGTTATATGGGGGCTATACGAAGACGTGAACATGCACAGACAATTTTCTGTCTTATGCTGTAGTATCTATTACGAACTTCAAACTGTCAAAACTGAGATTCATTCAGTCGGAAATTGTGGCAGAAACATTAAAAAAATTACGAATATTAAAAAGCAGCACGGGAACAAACATTTGTTAAATCGTTAAATCAAATATGAACTTCATGGGATCTTCAAAGGCATAATTAAATGACAAGACAATTAAAACGTTGGAAATACAAATTCCAAATTACAGCTCATTTGAATGGAAAATGTTGCTAAGCTCTTTACAATACCAAACATTGAGCTGAGTTTTTACATGGGGTTATTACAGATGTTCTATATCATATTGGATTACACTGAAATTAAGGCCTATGGCTGAAAAATAAGATCAAGCTATTCAATATTTATTTCTATTTAGAAATTACTATGGAGTCATTGCTTATAATAAAAATTGTGCCGCTTACATAAATCAGATCTCTGATTTAATGTGCTTTAAAAAATATGAATTTAAGACTTAAAGTACGGGCCGACAACGTGGACCGGCCAGCTAGTAATAATTTAAAAATAGTTTGCCATAATTATGCTTGAGAAACACTTATGGTGTACAAACTTATCTCAAATTTGTACTTTTTTGACAAATTTGTTTTGAATTTCTGTAAAAATTGTCAGATAGAAATGGTTTTCTTTTGGTAAAAAGCAAAATCACAGGAATTTAGCACCCATTTCCGGACCGAATTCTTAAGGTAATTTTGAATACTAAATCTGAGAATCTGTGTGATATATAATTTCAATCTCATTTCAGACAGAATACATAAAAAAAGTTGCAAAAATTCAATAGAAGTGTTTTTAGTGGAGAAAATGCAGAAGCTCAAATAGGGGGAAAAAGCGTCTAGGTCTCAAGGCCACAGGAGGCAGTGACAGCTGGGATTGACATTAAATAAAAAAATTAAAAAAATAAAAATTGTATAGGGTAAGTGTGCCTAAGTTCGGCATGTCCCAGTAGTCGGCACTTTTTATTTTTAAGCCCAAATAAATGAAACTTTTATAACTAAATATATTTTGTTTACTTCAAATATATTGTCAGCTATCTTTGTGTACAATTTCGCTAAGAAAAGATGATTTATTCTAATAAAAATTAAATTTCTGTATGTGAAAGTCCTCAACAATCCATATTCTTAAGAAAAGTACAGTAAAGACGTCGAATCAGTTTAACTAAACAAAAATATTATATTTTTATGAATTAATTTATTATTATCATTAATTATTCTTACAAAAAAATTGGTATGCCGACTGTTGCAACATGCCATACAGACAATTGGCAAGTGGTGCCGACTACTGGCAAAAAAGCATTGTTTTAATAAAACTACAAATTTATGAAATTTAATAAAAGGTTATTAAAACTTTATTTATTATTGCAAAAACTATACAAAATTTCAAATCTGAATAAATTAACTTTGTAATAATTGAAAAGTTCCACTCAGAATGGTGAGCGATTACAAACGCGAAAATCCTAAAAGTGCCGACTACTGGTACACTTACCCTACCATTACAAAAATAAACTTAATAGGGTAAGTGTACCTGTAGTCGGCACTTTTAGGATTTTCGAGTTTTTAATCGCTCACCATTCTGAGGGGAACTTTTCAATTATTACAAAGTTAATTTATTCAGATTCGAAATTTTGTATAGTTTTTGCAATAATAAATAAAGGTTTAATAATTTTTTATTAAATTTCATAAATTTGTAGTTTTATTAAAACAATGCTTTTTTTCCAGTAGTCGGTACCACTTGCTAATTGTCGGTATGGCATGTTCCAACAGTCGTCATACCAATTTTTTGTAAGAATAATTAATAATAATAATAAATTAATTCATTAAAATATAACATTTTTGTTTAGTTTAACTGATTCGACGTCTTTATTGTACTTTTCTTAATAATATGGATTGTTGAGGACCTTCACGGACAAAAATTTAATTTTTATTAGAATAAATCATCTTTTCTTAGCGAAATTGTACACAAAGATAGCTGACAATATATTTGAAGTAAACAAAATACATTTAGTTATAATAGTTTCATTTATTTGGGCTTAAAAATAAAAAGTGCCGACTACTGGACATGCCGAACTTAGGCACACATACCCTATAATATTATTTTCGTAAGCTTATTCTACAATTACAAGTATAAGCTTATGAGTAAGGGTTCAATTTCGAATGTTCTATATTTGTTACACAAACATTTTAAATGTTATTTCAAGATTTTTCAAACTCAATGCTTATGTTCTTAAGTTACCCAACATACCAAAAGGCTTGAGAATAATATTACAATAAGCTTAAGAACAAAAGCCTTATGCTTGAAAAATTCTTGAGGAAATATTAGAAAATGTTCGAGCCATTTTGGTATGTTGGGATTGTCTTGTGTCAATACAATGTAATACAAGATAAATCGATGCTAGTTGTCGAAATGGTATTTTGTTCTAGGCTAATTTATTAAATTAACAAACTTCTGCCAAATAATTTGAAATTAAGACAAAATCCTTAAAATCCCGCAATAAAATCTTCCAATTTCAAGGTTCTTATTCAATTAAAATATAATTGTTTGCCAGAATCTGATAATGGCGATAATTGGTTAAATAAATGTTGTGAAGAACGGTTCTTTCATATGTTTCAAAAACATATGTTTCCATGGGTAACCGTGGGTAACATGACCCACTTTAATACCCCATCTATGCTACGGAATGTCCAACATACCCACTAAATGACGTGTTATTACTCACTTCGTTCGAAATCGTGACTTCTTTATCTCGAAATATAAAATTGTCTGTGGGACAGGTTTCGATTTGGTCTCGATTAAAGTCATTGACTGTACACACGGCCGTATCTTCCTGCTCTGTAGCTACAACATCAAACACTCTCGTTGAAGTGGTGGTGGTTGTATTCGCATCCGCAATGCTGGCATAACGTTTACACTGATCCAAACTTGAACCCTTCATTGGAATTGTAAAATCCGTCCATGGTTCATCATACTGACTGTTTGCGGTATCACATTCTGAAATATTACATCTAAAAACGAATTATATTGTTTCAAACAATTTTTTGGGCTTTAAGATTATTTTCTACAAAAAGTTCAAGTGCAAAAAATAGGATTGATTAGTTCGAGTAGTTATCAGTAACTGGTTGAGTGTCCATTATTTTGTACAACACGCTTGAAGAGCAATTAAAACAAGTTTGATAAGAAGAACATGTACCCCAGTACGTCACATTTACCTATGAACTACGGAACTGGCTGTGAAGACGTAAGTCACAGAAAATATTGCATTAAACATCATGGGCAAACAAATTAACAAAAATATTATCACTTGAAATTTTCCAAATTGGCCGATACGAACTAGTATTGAATCTAAAGTAGAGTCTTCATCATCACATTGTCGAGGTTCCACAACGTCTACACTAACTTTTGAATCGGCCACCGTTTCCATTTTCAATTATGCAAAACTGGATTTTTTTTTTAATATTTTAAATGCAATGGTTCGAACGTAAGATAATAGCAAAAAACAACCGGTCCCTAGTAAAAACGTACATAAATTACGTTTGTTACACCTCAACACGTCGCCGACGGCCAAAATTTGCAAATTTCCTTCACTCAACCGATGCCGTAGAACAACTAAGCGGCCGATTTAACAGAGAACGAGGAGAAGTTGTGTCGGTTATCTCTCAAAATAGCACATTTAATACACGATTAGTTCCGTCTGACCAACGTCTGATGTTCGATCAAAAAAAAAAAAAATCAAAAAACAAAGAGAGTAATTGTAGAAGTACTGTGCAACAAAAATTAAACTTTCACATCTATACATACATATATAAACATCAAATGTTGTTGGTAATGAAATAAGTTGAAAACGGATTGGCCGTTTTGAACATTTGTTTTTGCAAATGTTCTTTAGGTTTTAATGCAAAGAAAATTTGACCACGCCCACTTTTACGCCCATTTTTTTCTATTTACCTAAAATTCTTATATTTGCCAAAATAATGAAGATATCTGTTTGAAAGTTAGAATACTCTGACTCTGCCTCCAACCTTAAGTATCTATTTAGAGTCAGAGGAACTGGTCACGCCTATTATATTATAGTCTAAACAGTATAGTTACACATCCATTGAAAACGGCAGGGCCGATTTGTCTCGAATTTTCTTTCGGTTATTTGTAATTGCAGTGGAAAGGTTTTATGAAAGAAAATTTTGGGAAAAGCCTCTAGAAAGTCGCGAAACTTAAAAAAATCGAAAGTGGTTTTTCGATATGGAATTTTGTGTAGAATTGTTTCCGAACAAATCGTGAAATTTTGCATATTTTTTATATATGCCGGATTTTATTGTTTTTGAGAATTGCCAAATTAGTTCCAAATGGTGGAGGGTATTCAAAGTTCGACCGGGCCGAACTTAAGCTTTTTTGCTTGATTTTTTTTTTTAATTTGACATAATATATTGAAGTGTACATTTTTTATTGTTTCGAATCCGTCCAATGGGAAATCAAAATGCAAAATTCATTGGGACTGCAATCAGTGAAATACCGAATATAAAGGGTGCAGAAATAGTGAAGCGAATTGAACATTTAGTAAGAAAAGGATTTATATCCTTCCAGAAATTCTTCCTTAACTTTCAAGATACCTAAAATCGCTTCTGCAGGTCATGATATATGTCATAACCCCCGATTAAGGGAACAACCTGATTTAAAGTATATTTAACATTTTAACCATATTTTTCACACTATTTTTTTGCGAGGATGGTTTCTTCTCAAATTACCAACATTTTGCATATTTTTTATGGATGCCTGCCAAAAATTTCAATTTTGACTAGAAAATATTCAATTTTGACCCGAAGCATCAAACAACTCAAATTCTAAACGTACTTTTATATTGCGGCTATACCAAATGGGGAACCAATAGATAAAAGTTATTGCCGGTATAATTTTAAGAACACTGAAAACAGAAAGACAGAAATTATAACAAAAACATGCAGAAAGACGAATGTTTAATGGTAGTATTAAAGTTAAACGAGAAGGAGTATTGTAAAAAGGTTAATGAATTAATCTAAATATTGCGCCTTAATGGCGATTTATAGGACATATGATTTAACCCTGAACTAGAATACATAAGGTTGACAAAGCTAAATACCTTACAATTCTCGCATTTGTACATTTAATTGATCCAAAACGTTGCAAAAATACTCTGAATTTAATGTTTTACCCTTTTGCAGATAGTATCAATCAGTAATATACCTTTGAAGTCCAAAAAAAAAATACTTTGCCATAACATAAATGAGCCTGTATAAAGTTTCGAAGATGCATATTGAATATGACGACCTCTATCGTAATTGCAAATGACGCCCAGAGAGCCACACGGACGTAGTTTAATCGACAAAGATTTCTGGTCTTCTACATACCTTCTGGGGTCCCTAACATTTATAAATCGATGACACCTTATTTTTGATAGAAATTAAAACCACGTAGCCAAGGAAAACATCAATAAGCTTATACAATTAAAACCGGCAAGTTTGTAGATAGACTGTAAGCCAAAATATTTTTCAAAATGTAAGTTTTTTTTTTAAAGAAAAACTAAACGTTTGCATATATGTTGCATATATGTTCCTAAAAATATGAATTAAACACTGATACTATGGGCCAGAAATGCGGTTCGGGTCAGCTAGCTTGGTATAAAAAATGAAAATATCTCCGTCAAATTCAGTAAAAAATCGATTAAGAATTGGATTCAGAATTGGATATGCCTCCAATATATAAGTTCCCTCTGAAACCAAATTATAACTGCTCTAAAGCCAAATGTTGATGGGTGGTATGATCTACTTCAAATAAATTCTTTTGTTACGGGACCTCTAATAAAAATAGTCGATCCCGCCAGACTTTTGACTTTTCCTTAAATTTTTTTATTAAAATATTTCTTTATAAATTTTGGATCTTTGTCTTAATTATTAAAAGCATTAAAAACATTTTTTCCATTTTTAGTTGAACAGTGTAAATTGTTGTATAGATATTCTCTCTTGTTTTGATCAGTAGCAGGTGTTTATTTTCAACAACGAGTGACGATAATAAATACAACCGATCAAACAAAGTGCAATTATGTGTGGGACTAATTTGATTTGAACGACATAAAATTAATTTCAGTCAATATGTGTGAAACGATGACATTATCAGTTCCTATAATTTCCGATACTGCTATAATAGTTATTGTTTGGTTATTATGAGATTAGTTGAGGTAGACCACTAATCGTATTGCTAACACGTGCTAAGATGTAACCGAACAAGGGGAAACACCAATATTAAGTCATATTAAGCGTGTTCGATGTATACTTTTTAATAATACCCTCCACCATTCTATGAAGGGTATATTAACTTTGTCACTCCGTTTGTACCTCCTCGAAATATTAATAATAAACCCTATAAAGTATACATATTCTGGAGCAGCGTGAATTTCTAACATGATCTAGCGATGTCCGTCTGTCTATCTGTTGTAATCACGCAATTGTTAAGTTAAATTGGCCATGTCGGTCCACGTTTTCGTACAGCCTCCACATAACGCTACCTCCCGATATTCCGTATTTTAATGATTTTAGCGACATTATTCACCGGAATTATTTCAAATTTCGTATTTGAAGTTAGTAATGGGTACTAGTTATAACTATCAGATCATGCTCATTTTTTATACCTTACAACACTATGCGTTAGGGGTATTATAAGATTGATTTTGCCAACAATTATGTAACACCTCGAAATATTGGTTTTCCACATAGGATAGTATATATGGATCTTCCTATCTAGCCGATCTGAGACGATCTAGCTATGTATGTCCGTCTGTCCATGTTAATTTGTAATCACTTTACAGGTCGCAATTATGGCCCGATCTTCACGCAATTTAGAATGGATATAGGGTTTGGGTCAGAATACAGAGATGATCGCATAATATTTAGGGGTTAAAATGAACCAAAAACTGAAACATTTCCTGATTTTGCAGTTGCTTTACAGGTCGCAATTATAGACCAATCGAAGCGGAAGTTAGCATGGGGCTAGAGCTTAAGGCTGGGCAGAAACCTTCCAATTTTGACGGTCATCGGGTAATATTAAGTGGGTGAAATAGGCCAAAACATTTGTGTTAAATAAAAGTCAAATTAAACCGCGAATATTTTTAATCCCGGAGAAATGACAAATAGACAAAGGAAGGAAATGTTAGCTAGAATGCTTATATCACAAGAATGGTTGGACCTATTTTGACAAATTTTGTCAATTCAGAATGCCCTCTTGGCATAAAAGTATAAAATCTGAAAAAATCACATAAATAGATGCCAACAAGTAAAAAAGCAGTAAGTTCGGCTGGGCCGAACTTTTAATACCCTCCACCATTTCGAACGAATTAGAAAATTTTGAAAAAACTAGAATCCAATAAAAATTCTTTTAAAATCTTTAAAATATCTAATATAGGAAGGTGCCGATATATGGGGGAATATACGATATTGTGGACCTATAAAGATAAATCTATGTCTGCGTGTAAAGTACTCACAAGGAACTCCTTGTATGGATTTTCAGATAATTCCATTGGAAAAGTGGCTAAAATCATCAAAATACCGAATATAGGGGAGTACCGTTATACGGGGGATATACGATATTGTGGACCTATATAGACAATTCCGTTTCAGGGGTAAAGTGCTCACAAAGAACTCCGTGTGTGGATTTTCAGAGAATACGATTGGAAAATGTGGCTAAAATCATAAAAATACCGAATATCGCGGGGTACCGTTATATGGGAGCTATACGTTATCGTAAATCTATATAGAGAATTCTATGTCGGGGGGTAAAGTGCTCACAAAGAACCCCTTGTGTACAAAGAACCCCATTCCGTTGAAAAATATGGCTAAAAACATCAAAATACCGAATATCGGGGGTACCGTTATATGAGGGCTATACGATATCGTGGATCTATATAGATAATTCTCTGCCGAGGTATAAAGTACCCACAAGGAACTCCTTGTGTGGATTTTCAGACGATTCCGATGAAAAATGTGGGTCAAATCATAAAATACCGAATATCGGGAGGTACCGTTATATGGGTGATATACGATATCGTGGACCTGTATAGACAATTCTCTCTCAGGGGGTGAAGTACTCACAAGGAACTACTTGTGTTGATTTTAAGACAATTCCATTGAAAAACGTGGCTAACATCATCAAAATACCGAATATCAGGGGTTACAGTTATATGGGGGATATACGATATCGTGGACCTATATAGACAATTCTTTTTGCGGAGGTAAAATGCCCACAAGGGACTCCTTTTGTGGAACTTCAGACAATTCCATTGAAAAGTGTGGCTAAAATCATCAAAATACCGAATACCGTGGGGGTACCGTTACATGGGGGCTATACGATATCGTGGACCTGTATGGACAATGCTCTGCCGAGGTATAAAGTACCCACAAGGAACTACTTGTGTGGATTTTCAGACAATTCCATTGAAAAATGTGGCTAACATCATCAAAATACCGAATATCGGGGGTACCGTTATATGGGGGCTATACGATATCGTGGACCGATATAGCCCATCTTCGAACTTGACCTGCCTGCAGACAAAAGAGAGACCTGTGCAAAATTTTAGCTTCCTATCTTAATTCGTTTAGACAGTAGCGT